TCGGCTCACTGCAACCTCTGCCTCTCAGGTTCAAGCAATTCTCCTGCCTCAGCCTCCTGAGTAGTTGAGATTACAAGCGGGTACCATCGTGCCTGGCTAATTTTTTTGTATTTTTAGTGGAGACAGGGTGTCACCATATTGGCCAGGCTGCTCTTGAACTCCTGACCTTGTGATCAGCCTGCCTTGGCTTCCCAAAGTGCTAGGATTACAGGCGTGAGCCACCGTGCCCAGCCGCATTTCTTTCTTTGTGTTGGGAATATTTCAAATCTTCTCTACTAGCTGCTTTGAAATATACAATGTATTGTTGTTAACTATCTTTGCCTTACTGTGCTGCCAAACACTAGAACTTATTCCTTCTGCCCAGCTAATGTTTGTACATATTAACCAACTTCTCTTCACCCTTCGATTCTCTACCTTCCAAGTTTCTGGTAACAACCATTCTTCTATTCTCTATCTCCATGAGACTAACTTTTTTAGCTCCCATGTATGAGTGAGAACATGTGTTATTTGTCTTTCTTTTATTTATTTTCTTTCTTTTTTGAGACAAGATCTCACTCTGTTGCCCAGGCTGGAGTGCATTGGTGCGATCGGAGCTCACTGCAGCCTCAACCTCCTGGGCTCAAGTGGTCCTCTACCTCAGCCTCCCAAGTAGCTGGGACTACGGGTGTGTGACACCATGCCTAGCCAATTTTTAAAATTTTCTGTAGAGATGCGGTTTCACTATGTTGCCCAAGCTAGTCTCAAACTCCTGGAGTCAACACTTTGTTGGGATTATAGGTGTGAACCACCACACCCAGCAGTATTTGTTTTTCTCTTCCTGACTTATTTTGCTTAACATGATGACCTTCAGTTTCATCTATGCTGCTGCAAATGACAGGATTTCATCCTTTTTAAAAGCCGAATAGTACTCCATTGTGTATATATACCACATTTTCTTTATCCATTCATCCATTGATGAAGACAGGTTGATTCCATATCTTAGCTATTGTAAATAGTACTGCAGTAAGCATGGAGGTACACATATTTCATTGTTATACTGATTTCCTTCTCTTTGGATACATATTCAGTCATGGGATTACTAAACCATATGGTAGTTCTATTTTTAATTTTTTGAGAAAACTGCATACTGTTTTCCATAATGGTTATACTAGCTTACATTCCTACCAGCAGTGTATAAGAGTTCCCTTTTTCTACACGCCCAGTAACATCTGTTGTTTTTGTCTTGTTCATAATAGCCATTATAACTGGAGTGAATGATTTCTCATTTTAGTTTTGATTTGTGTTTTCCTGATGATTAGTGATACTGAACATTTTTCTTATAGCTTTTAGCCATTTACATGTCTGCTTTTGAGAAATGTCTATTCAGATCTTTTGCCCACTTTTTAGTGGGATTATTTATATTTTTGCTGTTAAATTGTGTGAGTTCCTTGTATATTATGGATATTAGGCCCTACTCGGATGAGTAGTTTGCAAATAGTTTTTTCTGTTCTACAGGTTGTCTCTTCAATCCGTTGTTTCCTTTGCTGTGAAAAAGTTTTTAGCTTAATATAGTCCCATTTGTCTAGTTTTGTTGTTGTTGCCTGTGTTTTCAAGGTCTTAGCGATAAAATCTTTGTCTAGACTGATGTCCCCTGTTTTCTTCTAGTAGTTTTATAGTTTCTGGTCTTAGGTTGAAGTCTTTAAAACATTTTGAGTTAGTTTTTGTATAGGGTGAGAGATAGGAGTCCAGCTTTCTTCTTCTGCATATGGTTACCCAGTTCCCAGCACCATTTACTGAAGATAGTGTCCTTTTCCCAAAGTGTTTAGTGCCTTTGTTAAAAATCAGTTGGCTATAAATATATGATTTACTACTCCGTTCCCTCTATTCTGTTCCAGTGGTCTATGTGTCTGTTTTTATACCAATTCTGTTCTGTTTTGGTTACTATAGTTTTGTAGTGTATGTTAAAGTCAGGTAGTGTGATGCCGCCAGCTTTGTGCTTTTTGTTTAAGTCCTGTCTGCTTTGGCTATTCAGGGTCTTTTGTGGTTCCATATTTTTAGGATTAAACAAACAAAAAAAACTGGCCAGGCATAGTGGCAAACATCTGTAATCCCAGCACTTTGGGAAGCCACGGAGGGCAGATCACGAGGTCAGGAGTTTGAGACCATCCTGAACAACATGGTGAAACCCCATTTCTGCTAAAACTACAGAATTAGCTGGACGTGCTACTGAGGTTTGTAATCCCAGCTACTCAGAAGTCTGGGAGGCAGAGGTTTCAGTGAGCTGAGATAGCACCATTGTACTCCAGCCTGGGCAACGGAGCAAGACTACTCTGTCTCAGAAACAAACAAACAAACCAAAAGCCAACTGTGAAGAATGTCATTGGTATTTTGAAAGGAATTGCATTAAATCTGTAGGTTGCTTTGGGTAGTATGGTCATTTTAGCAAAATTCTTTTGACCCATGAGCATGGGATGCCTTTTCATTTGTTTGTTTCCTCTTCAATTTCTTTCATTAGTGTTTTGTAGATTTCCCTGCAGAGGTCTTTCACTTTCTTGGTTAAATCTATTCCTAGATTTGTTATTATTTTTGTAGCTATTGTAAATGGGATTGCTTTCTTGATTTTCTCTTCAGCTACTTTATTATTGGTGTATAGAGCACTACTGATTTTTGTATGTTGATTTTGTATCCTGCAACCTTACTGACTTTATCAGTTCTTAAGAGTTTTGTACGGGAGTCTTTAGGTTTTCTTTTATGTATATAATCATGTCGTCTGCAAAGAGAGACAGCTTGACTTCCTTTTTTCTTTCTTTCCCTTGCTTAATTGCTATGGCTAGGACCGCCTTTTGATTTTCTAGGGAAGAAAAATATCTTTTTTCTTCTACCCAATAGAGTCTATGGCTGAGGCCCTGGAAATTAAACGGACAAAACATTGCTTAACAAGAGGAAAATACAATTTAATTCTGTACCTACACATGGGAGTATCACCAGAAAAAGAGACTAAAGGAGATCCAGATTGAGGCCTAGATACCATCTTAGGCTAAACAAAGAGAAAGGGGTTTGGGGCTTCTGAGAGGACAAGTCCTGAGAAAGTGAGGCAGGAAACATATACTTGTATGTAAATAAGTTATGTAGATAAGAGTGTCTCAGGTGATGTGTTATCTCCAGGCCTAGCTCTGTTTCTGGTGCAGAGGAATCTTCACCAAGAGAAATTTCCTTTATAAATGTAAATTTCCTTTACAAAAGGGGAAATTTATATTCTGCTTTTAGGCAGTAAGAGGATGGTAAAGAGCCTTTCCTGTGTCTGCTGGTTCTCAATTGCTTTTAGCTCAAAATAATCCATATGTCGGGTGGCATATTCTGGAACTCTTTATCCCACCCTTTGAAACTTTCTTTCTCTCAGGAGGTTTCATATATCAAAAGCCAAGCTTGTAGCTGTTGAGAGAGATTCGGATTAGGTGTTGCAAGATAAGAGATCTGCAAAGGGAAGGAAAACAGATTGGAACAAGAGTGAGTAAGCAGAAAAGACAAATTTAAACACATTGCCCCATCTCACCGAATTAGTCTCTCAGTCCTGGGGAAAGCTTATGTTCCTACTAACAGTGTATAAGAGTTCACTTTACTCATACAGTTGTATCTCATCTGAAGAAATTGTGTTGCCAGAGGGAACAGAGTGCCCACCTATGTTAGATCTCTATATGGTGCTATAAGGCATTTAATAAGGGGCATTTCTATAGAAACAAAAGAAGCCAAAGTTTAATGGATAGAACTATTTATAAACTCAGTTTCTGAGGCCAGGGGGCATTCAGTTGAGAAAATTTCTGGATGTTGGGCTCAAAGCACCTCTAGGTGGTGGAAGGAAGATAGGCCATGGCAGTCTGAGGTATTTCCAGGTTTGTGGTTTGGCTGTCTCTGGGGATGGCATATACAATGTGACAGCTGTGATTATTTATCAGGGCAGAGCACGGAAGGGCCCAGTTTCAGCTTGCAGGGCTTTTTCTGGGCAGTGTCAGTATGGATCTGGGCAGTCAGGTTTTAGTTCTCAGTGGTGCCAAATCAAGTGAGATTAAAATCGGAAATGTTAATTACGGACAAAATGCAAAACCTAGCAGGAGTCGGTTTACAGAGGTTACAAAAGCTGAGACAGGGAACATGGCTAGAACTTTACAGTCCACAAGGGTGTGCTATGATTTTCAATTAAAACATCTTTCTGTCTACGATCACCCCTATTTCTACGAAAGATAATCAAAGTAAGACTATTTTTGTTCCCAAAATAAGTCTAATCTCATTGAGCTTGACCTGATTATTACATAAATATAGCAAGGATGATGATTGACAGTATTTGCTCTTTTTAAGTTCGCTGTGTTGGAACTTTTAATCAGGAATCTCAGGTTAGACTGTTAAAGTCTATCAAAGCTAGGAAACCAATCCATCTGCCTTCACCAGCAATACCTACAGATTTGGGTGAATTCCTTTCTTCTTGAGGTCCCCAAAATATTTTAAGCTTCCTGGGCCTACCAAGTAGTGACCTTCCTTATGCACATGTTAGGTTGGGAACCCTATTAACAGGTACCAGACCAGTATTTCAAGGGTCTTTGTAAGCACCGGCTTCAGAAAGTCAGCATTAGTTCTGTACTGGAAAAGATCCCATTCTAGACCCCAAGAGTGGGTTCTTAGATCTCAAGCAAGAAATAATTCGAGGCGAGTCCATCGATTACAGTGAAAGTAAGTTTATTAAGAAAGTAAAGGAATGAAGGAACGGCTACTCCATAGACAGAGCAGCCCCAACACTGCTGGTTATTTCTTGATGATATGCTAAACAAGGAATGGGTTATTCATGCCTCCTCTTTTTAGACCATAGAGGGTAACTTCCTGATGTTGCCATGGCATCTGTAAACTGTCACGGTGCTGGTGGGAGTGTAGCAGTGAAGACAACCAGAGATCACTCTCATTGCCATCTTGGTTTCGGTGGGTTTGGGCCAGCTTCATAACTGCAATCTGTTTTATCAGGAAGATCTTTATGGCCTGTATCTTGTGCCAACCTCTTATGTCATCCTGTGACTTAGAATGCCTTATCGTGTGGGAATGCAGCCCAGTAGGTCTCAGCCTCATTCTACCCAGCCACTATTCAAGATGGAGTTGCTCTGGTTCAAGTGACTCTGACAGTTCCTTAAAACTGTCTGATCTTATCTGATTTTATGTATATCATCTTAAAATATGATATTCCAGTCAAATCCTTTTTAATATAAGCAATATTTCAAACTGCATTCTGTTACAAGGATAAGAGATTCTTAATGAACATATGTAAATACATCCCCATGAAATAAGAATAGTCAATAAAGATTTCCGAATTCTGGAAAGTTTAGGTGAGGAGAAAAAGTGAATGTTTCTGGCTGGGCACAGTGGCTCAGGCTCCCACCACTTTGGGAGGCTGAGGCTAGAGGATCGCTTTCAGCCTGGGCAACATAGTGAGACCCTCATCTCTTAAAAAAAAAAAAATTAGCTGGGCATGGTGATGCACATTTGTAGTCCCAGCTACTTGGGAAGCAGAGATAGGGGCACTGCTTGAACCTAGGAGTTCAAGGCAGCAGTGAGCTGTGATCTCACCACTGCACTCCAGCCCAGGTACAGAGTGAGACCCTGTCTCAAAAAAGGTAAATATTTCTAAAGGCCTACTTTACCAAGTTACTGTAAGTTATAGATAGCTTAAGAAATAAGCCGGGCGCGGTGGCTCAAGCCTGTAATCTCAGCACTTTGGGAGGCTGAGGCAGGTGGATGACGAGGTCAAGAGATCGAGACCATCCTGGTCAACATGGTGAAACCCAGTCTCTACTAAAAATACAAAACATTAGCTGGGCATGGTGGCGGGTGCCTGTAATCCCAGCTACTCGGGATGTTGAGGCAGGAGAATTGCCTGAACCCAGGAGGCGGAGGTTGCGGTGAGCCGAGATCGCGCCATTGCACTCCAGCCCGGGTAACAAAGAGCGAAACTCCGTCTCAAAAA